AAGACACCTGAAGGGCATTGGAGACAAAAGTCCGAGGGTGGAGGAACTGGGTAGTGTCTGCCAGATGAAGCAGAGCGCCGCTCACACAGTCCAGTGTTACAGGGACAGTAGGAATGTTGGCTACTGTTCATCCAAGGAAGCACAAAACCCAGAGCATCCAGAATTGAAGGGAAAATCCGGCCAGCGGCATGGCTCCGCGAACTCCCAAGTGCAAAGGGCACACTTGATGTCCAACCTGCAGGCCGGGCCCACTGGCTTCCCGGGTCATTGCCGTCAACCGGGGTCTCTTTGTACTGCTGGGGTGGTCCAGGACACTGCCAACCCTGTGCTCCGGGTCCAGCCTTGTTGTCCCTGGCCCCGCAAGCCAGAGCCTTCTCTCCGGGCCTCCCTAGGAGGCTGTTTCCTTTGTTTTGCAGATGAAGGCCCCCATCCTTTGTTCTGAATCAATGTGCTCCAAAGATAAGCCCCAAGAAAACAGTTGTTGCCTTTTGACACTGACAATTAGAATCATTGGAAAATGGAGAAAACAGGAAATGACAAATGTTTTTAGTGACCAGGAGGAAGCTGTGTCTGAAAATTGCTGTTTGGTGACAGACATTCATGAAGGATGGCCCAGGCAACCTGTGGCTTTTCATAAGCATGCTTATGGAAGCCATCAAATGACTCATTTTTCGAAGGCTGAAATTGTCATTGTGCTTGGCCCTATTGTGCCAAGTGGCACTGACAGGGCAGCTTTGGTGGGCCCTTTTCAAGCCTGGGTGTGCTTCCCCGATGCTGGTCACCTTGCCAAGGTTGAGTTGGTGCCATCGACAAGTCTCCTAGAGATCTAGGGTCCTGGCTCTTCCCTGTCACACCTCCTCCCGGTCCCACTGAGCCAAGGAGCCACATTCACAGACAGGTCTTAGCCGGGATAGTGATCCAGGAAGTCATGGAGCTGCTTTTCTATAAGCTTCTTGCTGATGTTCAGGAAGCTGCAAAGCCGTGGCCCATGTGTGGGGACTCATGGCAGGGCTAGTACTTCATTCATGTGGTAGTCAGGAGAAAGAGGCAAAATGCTGGTCCAAGTCCCGCTGCTGCCCCCTGGCACAGCTGAGCCCAACAGGGCCTCCCAGCAGGCCAAGCCAGTTGCTGTGTCAGCTTCGCCCTTCAGCCACCGCAGGTGAATGGCTCCTTTAAGTCCCATGGAATCACCTGGATGCTTCCTCTCACCACTGCAGGGTAAGAATGGCCTCAGGGCTTGTTCAACCACTTAATCTGGCAAAGGGAGGTGGAAGATAGAGGTGAAGCAGAAGGGCGGGTGATCAGCAGGTGTCCACAAAGGGTTCCTGGATTTCACGAAGATTCAGACTGAAGTCGCTGGCCCCGCGATCTTTGGGAGGAGAACATTCTGACTGGGGAGGGGATTCCAATGGAACATCTTCTGGGAGACACCAGGGGATGGATCCAAAGCCTTACTCTGTACAGCACGTTGAGGCAGGGAAGGAGAGAGGGAGGAAGGAAGGAGAAATGGAGGTAGGGAGGGAAGGAGACAGGGTGGGGAGAGGGAGAGAGGAAGGGAAGGAGGGGAAAAGGACGGAAGGAACAGGGCAGGGGGAGGGGCAATGGAAGGGAGGGGAAAGAAGGACAGAAGGAGGAGGGAGATTTCTTTTCCTACAACTAGGAAACTCCCGCCTCCTTTCCCAGCAGATGCAGCGTGCCCCCGCACAGAACTAGCCTGCCATGCAGCAGAAGGTACTCAACTCTGTGTTAGAGGTTCAAAAGTGTATGAGCTCTAGTATCTCGGTTTGTTTATTACTCCACTAGGAAAAGCATCTTCTTTTGTAGTTTTTGGAAGCCAGATCTGGATACATCTCACCCATCCTTCTGACTTTTCCTTTGAAATGACAGGAAGACAGCATTCTGCATGGAGACTATGAAATCAAGACCTGAATTCTGGGGGCTCCCGCATCCATATGGATGGGGACACCTCAAACTGGCCACGGCCCATGGATGAAGGCAACGTAGACACTTCTTCAGAAGCCTTGTCTGAAGAAGTGTGGATGTTCTTAGGTAAAAACTCTCCTCCCTCTGGTGTTAATCACAAACCAGTGTCCTCCTACAGGTGAACGTAGTCCCTCCTGACTCTCAGATCCCGTGACTCAGTTTCTTCAGAATGCTTCCAGAGGAGGAAGGACCAATGGGAGTGATGACTGTGCCATCAGGCCACCTCCCCTCCCTTCAAATCCTAGAGGCCAAGATCTGGAGGCTGGTGAGATACCTGCCCTTTCGTGTTGTCTTTGCTCGATGCCTTTCTGGGCCCTAGTGCAGCCAGAGACGTGTGAGCCTCATTGATTCTGGGGCCCCCAGAACAAATCTGTCCAAATACCAGATGGGAAGAGATAGTTTACTTGGCAGCCCAGTGTGTCCCTTTGTCAGTCAGCTGACATTTCTCATGGGTCTACATTGGGCCAGGCTCTTTTTCAGGAATAGAAATAGCACTGCGCATCTCTATTCATGGAGTTTACGATGGAGGGCACACTGACGAGACACAAGTAAGTTGAAGATCATTTTAGATGATTACACATCTTCTAAAGAGACTACGACGCGTGAAGGGATCGGGAGCCGGTGAGAGGATGTGGGGGACGGCAGAAACCTCGGGTTAGTGCGTGGGGCCCTGAACATAAATCAGAATCTGCCACGCTGTTCTTTAAGCTGAGTGAGACCAGGGAGAGAGGGAAGCAGTGGCCTGCTGGGGTCTTTCTTTGCCCCTCCTGGCCTCTGGCACATGAGCCGAAGACCTCCTCCATGGTGATGGTGCTGTCCTGGGGTCTGAACCAGTCTGAAGTGGTCACTGGGGG